TAGGGGTATCGGCCTGGCCGATGATCCTTACAAAATTTTAAAATCAAATAGATAAATACTATATCATATTCATGTTGTTTGGGTTTATGTCTTTTTCGTATCATATTTTTATCGTTTTCACTTGATTTTGATGCTTATGGGTCGTTCTCTGATCATCTCCATCTTTCCTGTTCTCTTTTTTTTCACATCATCCTGGCCGATACCCCTATCGACCAGGCCGATCAGATCAATTTACTCTGAAAACTTCTCTCTGCCGACTGATTTGGTTTTCTGCTTCTGATCGTCTTGGATGATCCATTATCGGCCTGGACGATCTGATCGTCTTCTGCTTCAATCATTTTTTATCGGTCTAGCCGATTCATTTTTTGGCCTTGATGATGTTATCCTCTTTATGGACAATCATCCTGACAGATCCACGTATTCGTCCTAGACGATACACGTGGATATACGTTTAAAATCTTTAAAATCAGCTGGGACGATCCATTTTAGACAATCGGCCCGGACAATCCACCTGTTCAGCCTGGCCGATACACGTGGACATGATTTAAATGTTTTAAATTTGGCCGGTACGATCCATTATTGGACATCATCCTGGATGATCCATTGAATCGGCCTGGACGATCTGCTTTTTCAATGGTCATCCGGCTTGACTCCTCGGGACGATCGCCTATGTCTAATCGGCCCGATCGATATCTGATCAGCCCGGACGATAGGACCGCCTTTTTGACCAATCGGCCTATACGTAATTATTGAACCAGATCGGCCTGGACGATCCTGCAATCGGCCTGGACAATCTGGCTGATTCTTTATAAATCGAGCCCTTCCAACCGTTTTCTTCACACCAACTTCTTCTCCTTTCTTCTTGTTTCATGTTTTCTTGTTATTTTGTAAAAATGACTGGAGGAAAGCGCTCTCGTTACCCGTTTGGAAGTTCCTCGAGGGCCACTATAGACCCTTGTTTCCTGGAGGCGGATGATCAAGCCCCCTACCAGCGCTATAAGGAGGTTGAAATCACTGTCTCCCAGACAGTCAATCAGATTTTTTTCTCTTATCTGGTACTAGACTTATTTGCCCATACCTCCTTGTTCTTTCTTCTGACTCTTGCTATACCGTTCAATTCTAAGTTGCTCTTTAAATTTTTCACAAGTCTCCGTATGAATTCTGCTTTAACCTCTATTGCCTCATATGTGAATCGACGTCCTATCGAGATCACATATCAGGATTGTGCGAAGATTTTGCAGCTTTCTACCACAGGGGATAAACTTCACACCCTATGTTCTAATCCTGATTCTGACTGGGCTCCGGCCAATCATTTTCTTCGCAACTCTAATGCTCATTTTCACATGGGCGAGACTAGCACCTTACTCAAGGATGCTAGGACCGTCCAGCACGTCATTTGCACTTCGATAATTCCTAAGGCTGGTGATCATGTTCACATTACTCCCCTTCTTTCTCTCACCACCTTTTACATTTTAGCACATCGTGAATTCAATACTACTGACCTGATCTTTCGCTCCATCGAACATCTTACTACCATTCAGGATCCAGGTCATAGGAGGAAACCAAATCTAGCCCTAGCACATATCATTTCTTATGTCTTAGAATCAAAGTATAACCTCCAATGTCCTGCTCCACCAAACCTCCAAACTGCTTTCTACTCTAACATTTCCTTTCAAACTCTTCATAGTACTCCTCTCCACCCAGGAGACAGGGAAGCTCAGGCGGGGGAAGAGGAGGCTCTTGCACCAGCTCCTGCACCTGTTTCGCTCCGCCAGCACTCTCAGCTGGACCAGCTAGTGAAACGCTTGACTAGTGGGAGACCCGATTAGACACTTATGTTGCTGCACAGGAGCAGCAACATGCTGAGGACATAGCCCACTACGAGAAGCACCGTATGGAGGACTTAGCCCATTTTGACGCCTACATTGCACACCAGTAGCAGCAGCACGACCAAGACATAGCCTAGTTTGGTGCACAGTTTGCTACACTAACTAGCTACTTCCAGTAGCCTCCACCACCACCTCCTCCTTCAGATAATCAGGGCCCATCGTTTTACTAGTTTTCTTTTAATTTGTTTCTATTTTTCTATTGATTAGTTTCATTTTTTTCTGTTGTTTAGTTTCTGCATTATTTTTGTTTGTCTCCTCATTTTTTAGATGTCAAAAGAGGGAGTAGTATGTTTGTACTTATACTATTCTGTTCTAATATTTGATGTTCTCTATGTTTGCACTATTTATAGTACACTATTGTCTTAACTACTTAGAATTATTTGTTGTGTGTTTGCTATTATAAAAAAGGGGGAGATTGTTGCGAATCTGTTTTTATGGATTATGATTTTGATGATAGCAAATACTTTTATTTCTCTATGACTTCTTTGCCTACTAACATTTCAGATCCACAAGATCAAACGACAATTAGAACCAGCTCAAGATTAGGTAGACTAGGTCTGAGTCACTTTGTACACTTTTCCCTTTCTTGAGTCTATTGTAAAAGGTGTGGCTCCTAATGCTAAGTAACCTTGCACACACATACCTTGGGAGAATTTCTGACTGTTTCTTAAAGTTTACTGTTTTTGGTAACATCATCCGGGATGATATATATATCGTCCTAGATGATCGGTTCAAAAATAGAAACCCTAATCAGGGCATCATGGTTAAGGCAGTCGTCATTAAGCCAATCAGCCTGGACTATATTATAACAGCCACGCCGATAGGCTCAAATCAGAAAGAATCAGCCTCCATATCTCTTTAAGAATTAGTTATTTTTGGACATCGTCCAGGACATCGGCTTGGACAATGCAGCATAATTATACCTAAATTGATCAGGTGATTAAGAAAAGCAATTAAGGCTGATTGCATGATCACACCAGTCGGGCCGATCGCAGGATCGACCGGGATGATGGCGTGGATGATTGACATCGACCAGCTTCTATTCAAGGCGGTATATCGTCCTGGACGATATGACCAGAAATTGTCTAATTGTTCCAAATCGATCGGGCTGATTGAGCAAAATTTATGCTGATCGGCCAGACCGATACCCCTATTGGCCTAGACGATAAAGTCGGTTTGTATAAAATAAGAGCTATTCTGAAGCTCTTCTATTTAAGATCTCTTATTTTACCTTAGAGGTAATCTTTTGCTACTGTCTTAACCTGAGAAAGCCTAGAGGATAAGGAGAGAGAGGGAGAGAGGGAGAGGATTTTGTGAGGGGGAACTTGTGAGGGAGTTTCACAAGGATTGCTCCAAGCATTGTTCCACTTCTTCTTCTTCCACTGTAGTCTCTTGTCCTTGGAGGGTTGAGAGAGCTCTTCTTCAGCGATCAAGATTCTCTGTCTTCTTCAAGAGGAAGCAAAAGGAGTTTTTGTGAGGGCTTCTCCGCCTTGCTGTGGGAGCAAAAGGAGAGTCAATGTGTTTAGTGCAATACCCGGAGGGCGCCTCCGGGGAGTGGATGTAAGTCGAGTTGACCGAACCACTATAAATTTATGTGTCCTTTTACTACTACTTTCCGCACTTTGATTTTCATTGTGGTGATTTTGGTTTGAATTTTGTGATTGTGTTTTGATCAAAATAATTTTAAAATACCAATTCACCCCTCCCCAAAACCCAATTCCCCCCCCCCCCCCCCCCCCGGTTAGCCTTGGGCTAGTTTATAAGGGCTTAACATCCCAAACGAACTTTCATTAAGATCTTCAAGTTCTTCTTATGAGTTTGTTTTGTATTTTTTTATGAAGCTTTTGATGGATTAGTAATTGTTAGTAATCTCTTGGCTATTACAGATGTTATTTTGGTGAATGAACAAAGTGAAGTGTTTTATGGTCTATAATATCTATTTACTTTCGATGGATATATTGATTTATATAATGACTTGTAGAAGCTCTGATAAATGATTAAAAAGATAAATTAGATCATTCTTCCAAATTTGATTATAGGAAATGACACAATTAACCACTTCCGACCAGCCAATCATCATAAAATTGTTCTCACTCTTAGCCACTGATCTATTTGAACTGGTATTCTTTTTTTCCATACCCTAAAAGAAACATACATATGTTTTCCTAAAAATTTAAATGTTTTCATAATTATTAAGGATATTGTATACCTGAAATCTCTTCTCATGCGTTTTAATATGTACCGACCAGGTCGTGACGAGGGTACTCCTACTAAGGAGCAGATCCCTCAAAAGACTCACCTAAGGACAACAGAGGAAATTTCCCAAGGCGAGTGACGAGCATTACTCACCCACATTTGCTAAGGAGCTCACTACGTTGGGCAACCAGGAAGTTCCTCATTAAGCAAACAAACTGCTAGTTATCTCAATTAAATCCTCCCCTCATTGCTCGCCAAACTCGACTAGAGGAGAGTGTCTACCCCAAGGACTTCACACTCCATTCGACTACCAACACCAAGCTCAAGAACTCTTCATTCTTGGAAACACCTATGCTAATCTTTCATGGCAAGACAACCTTGTGAGCAACCTATAGCAGTCGCCAATCTGATCAGATGATCACTAGCTACAAGTCCATCTCTTCATACTCACCCACATACTTTCCCTACACCTATTCGCTTCTCTTGAGCTCATCCGATGACAAAAAGCTCGTCAAACCATAACTTGTAACTAATCAGGAGGTGACACATTCTAAATTAATGTATAACATTATATGAGTACTTTTTGTAGCACGTTTTTTACTTTTTCCTATATAATCTTTTCTATAACCCTCAAATCCTATACATAAATGATGATGAGAAACAATTAGGGATCTTTTATCCTTTCTCTAAATCTTTTGGGCCCCTTGAGTCCCACCTCTCATGCTTTCTGATTAAGATAGTGAAGATTTAGTCAACTTGCTCTTCTCCTATTAACTCTCTACTCTTCATTCTCAACTAATAGGTTCTCAACTCACTAGACTGATCTTCTAGTAAAATAGAGTATCATCCACCAAATAAAGAATTCAACAGATATAATACAATCTTTGGCAATTAAAAATCGTGCAAGGTTAAGAATTTCAATCAACAAAGCAACTAAATGGTAATTCTTTGCTTCATGACGATACCCGATAAAATTACTTGAGGCTGGTGCTATTGATGATGACGACATAGATAATGTACAATAATTAATCACAATACCTTACAAGGTGTGAAACTAAACAGTGAAAGAACCTCAACTTCCAAATAATTGTTTTAAGATAAAATTTAAGAACTATCAGCACACACCACAACTCTTCCTGCAAGAACCATAGTAGTCAGGCGTGCCCAACATATAGACTGAATTCTTTTGGCACTCTCCCATGGCCGCCCATTGTCGGCAATTGTCGTCTTCATCAGTACATTCCTCTGCAGAATAAGAAAAAAGCTTCTTATGATCGATGGCTCGTACATGGATCCATTTGATTGCGGACCACTTCTCTCCCTCAAGCACTGAACACCCACCATGAAGACTACTGACATCTACTGTAACATTAGGATGAAGATTGAAAATGAGAAGGGCATTGCTTTTAACATGTTTCACTGCAAAACCTGATGAAGCGCACTCAGACATCATCTCTTTCCCATTTTTAGAATTTGAATCTTTTATCTGAAAATTTAGAAAATCAAACGTAAGATTTTCATAAGTATGCATATCTCTAGACAATGAGTGATTATTACATGCGGAGTCCGGACACAGAAAAGCGTTTGGTTTTGTGACTATGAACAGTAAAAATACAGTTATTGTTTATCACTTTGTTTTTACTGTTCATAATTACAAAATCGAACAGTTCTTTGTGTTCGGACTCCACATGTACTAATCCTTCGTCAAATTTAATGAATGCACCATCATATAAGATCAAGAAATTTAACCTCACCTTAGACATCGGAAAGATTATCTCACCACCCTGAGAAACGTTAGAGAGGAAAATCAAAATGGTGGCAATTCGGGGCCCACCTATCACATTTTCCAAATTATCCTGATTGCCGTGATACAGTGGTTCAGAACCCTCATTGGTCCGATAATGGAAAATTTGCATGCCCTCTCCGTTTTCTAAATATATATATATATATGTGGACAGTAAGATTTCAAAATTCAGCAGCAGTGAGATGATGGATCAAGAAGAATAATAAAAGAGAACAAGAGGGATACCATCCGGAAGAAATGTCCATGCTGATATTCTCTCCTCAATTCTTAAAATAATTTCATCCTTCCAATTACAAGGAAAAAGTTAAAACAAACAGTTGATTTAATTAGTGCAGGACAACTTATCAAAGGACTTGAATCTCTCAAAAAAAAGAACAGTTGAGTATTTAAAGAATATGTTGGCACTCTGAGGTTCCACAATGGTAGGATTTTCTTAATATAGCTAGTTTCGTATATTTTGTCAAGTTATATTATTTTGCAAAAGGATTACTTTAAAAAAAAAAAAAAAAGACAAGCATCTCACCTGCCCTCTGGCCAGCTCAAATCCATTGTTTAAGCTAACAACATCAACAGTGCTACTAACTCCTGTACTGTTCTCAGTAGCCAAAGGTTTTTGAAGCTTTCCATTTGCCTGCGCTTAGAACACAAGATTTGAGCACAAAGAAGTTCAATAGAAGTAGGTTAAAATAACAGATAGGAAAGAATTTTACCAGAGATAAAAGATGATCACACTCTTCATCAGAGATAAAACCTTCATATAAAAATACCCTAACTTAAGGAACAGATGTCAAGTGTCAATCAATGCTTAATTCAGAAATTCAAAGCTTCTTCCAGATGAAGCATTATATTTAAATCTGATTTAGAAAACTACAAGCATATTACATGTGAAGAAATCGGCCCCATTTAAATGTTATAAAAAAGAGGCTTCCCAAGGTTCCATAAGGGGGAAAAAAAACAAAATAAAAATGAAACATACCTAGGATTCCATGACAACTGGATAGATTTTGAAGGGTCAAATCCAGAGGAGAATGCTGAATGCTCTGAAGGGAGGAGATGATCAATTTTTGCCTCTTCGCTCCCTAAATCTAACCTGCAAAATCATGACAGCTTAGTGCTAACCAGATCCACGATGGTGGGGAACCAAGTCGTCTTATTACTAAAGGGCATAACTTCATTGTCTGAAAAATACATAAGCATATATCCATCAGTCGCTGAATATTTACTCCATAAACTCCATAAACCGCTTACAGTATCGTGACTCCATAAACTCAAGGTAAAGTATTTACTGAAAATTCTTAATCAATGATTTATTAAACTAAGAGGCATGAAAATCAAAAATAGACCTACAAACCTTGATAGCTCTATTGTTTGCACGAGAAACTGATATCCCAGATAATTTAGATTAACATTCTCAAGGAAAGCATGATTGTATGGTACAAAAAGCCCGCATCCAAATATCCAAACTACCAATGCTCAAGAAAAGCAAGCCCAAATCTCATAGAAACAATCAAAATTCAAGTGGATTTTCAAGCATCCAAAAAAGCCAAAAAATAGGAAGGCCAAAATGAAATAGGCCCAACCTCATCAAACCAAGCCGACCCTAAATCGACCCAACTTGGTAGACATGGGTTATCCCAAATCTTCGGTGTTCCTTTTGTTTCTAGGGGAGCCCACTATTGCCTCCTCTCTAGTTTGAAAATCCCAGCCTACTAGATTAAAGGCCATATCAACAGGCAATAGGTATAATTGGAGGCGGCTAACACAGCAGATGCCCCAATGATTTTGTTATACTGGTCCATTGGACCAGTCTAGCCGATCCTGCCCAGGCGAAATAGGCAGAGGTTCCATCTTCTGTACGTGCCGATCCAACCGCTGGGTCCAAGGGAGCTGTTTAGGAAGGATTTTTGAGGGAGTTAGGAGGGGAATTTGAATGTAGGGACTGTTTAGAGATTTCCGTTTTGATTGTATGCATTAAATAGTTAGTTTTTCAAGGGTTAGGGCATCTTGAATTTAGCTGAAATTTGAGTTCCCTTAGGTTTTTGGGCTCTAGTGGCATCTAGAGATTTAGGAGAGATAGATCCTCCTCTCGAATAGAGGATCAATTGTATCTTGATATTTTCCGTTTCTATTTCATCAAATAATACAAATTATCTACTGTTTTCCTGATTTTGTTTGGATTCTTGGAGAAAATTTTTGCTGTTTTCCAAAGATTGATAGGAAATTCTTGAGATCTTCAAGTGTTTCCTATCAAATTGATATCAGAGCATGTGTCTGGGGCTATTTGGGGGGCTGTTTGGGCTGATTCCTGCAGCAGTGTTTCTCCTTTGAAATGCTGTTTTTGTAATGGAAATCCGAATTTTTTAGCCTAAGCGGTGCCCAGGGCTGTTTTGGGGCAGTTTGGACTGATTCCATTTTTTGCGGTGGAAATCCGAACTTTCAAGCCTAACAAAGATTTGGGGATTTATGCCGGGAAGAAAAGTAGAAGAATTGAAAGGGGAGATCGGACAAATGAAATCTGAAATTTTAGATCTCCAAACTGAAGTTTCAGATTTAAAAAAAGATATTTTAGCCATCCATGATAAGTTTGATTCGAAATTTTCATCCTAGAAGAGATGTTGAAGAAAGTGCTCGAGAGTCAAACCAAAATATCACCGTTGGAGGAGAGGGAAGATGCGAACAGACAAGGAAGTGGAGAAAACCCTAAGCCGATCAGATGAAGAGAAGATCAAGAGGTGGAGATTTTGGAGGGAACAGAAAAAATGACTCCCCCATGGCCTGTTCCTTGGGAGGAGTTGGGTAGAGGGTATGTGGGGAGGCGTGAGGGGGTTGGGCATGAGTGGAAGGGTGTGAAATTTGAAAAGAAAATGAGTAATTATGATCAAAGGAGGGCTGAATTTGAAAGGCGAGTATTTGATTATGACCGAAAAGGTGTTGAATGTGAAAGGAAAGAGGTTGAATATGATCGAATGGGTGCTGAATTTGAAGGGAAAAGGTGGGCTTGTGATGAAAGGTTTGGGTGCAAGTAGAGGGGGGATGATTGGCACAATTGTGAGGAACCAACCCTTTGGGGAATGGGAAATTTTGGAGGAAGCAAGGTTGACGGAGGAGATCTGAGAGTGAGGAAACTGAAGATGCCTATTTTTTAGGGAGAATATGCATATGGGTGGATCTACATGGTAGAAATGTACTTGACTGTCACTAGGTTAACGTAAGAGGAAAGAATGACAGCAACTGGCCTATGTTTGAAAGGGAAGACTCTGGCTTGGTACCAGTGGAGGGATATGCGATGGCTAATACGAAGTTGGAGGGAGAGGGAGTTCAAGGATTGCCTGATAGAACGATTCCGAACAGGCACGGGAGGAGACTTCTATGAACAGTTCTTTCCTTTGACACAAGATGATTCAGTGATAAGAGTATCGGGAGAGGTTCAAGTACCTGACTAGCCGATTTGACCGTCTTTCTGAGACCAGGCTAGAGGGAAACTTCATGAAGGACCTAAAATTAGATATCCGGGCTGCAATTATAGTGATGAACCTCGTGACTTGGGAGAGGATATGGAGCTAGCTCAGTTGGGGGAGAATCAAAGGCACATAGAGAAAGGGACGGAAGGCAGCAACTCAGGAGGCATGTACAGGATAACCATCACCTTTTGGCATCTAAGGAGCCAACACTGGATACTCTTCGGATGACTTTGAAGGAAAATACTGCAAGAGAAAGACCTGATGGCAACTTCAATAAGCTCACAGAAATGGAATTACAGGAGAAGAGGGTGAATGAGCTTTGTTTCAGATGTGACAAGAGGTATACTCCGAGGCACAGGTGTAGAGATTGATAAGAAAAAAAGTGTCAGTATGACATTAGTTTGGAGGACAGCCAACATCCTAAAGGATCATTGTAATGTCGATGAAGATTTGAGCTAATGTCTACATGTCCTTAGGGAGATTCACAGGAATTAGTGTCGCATAGTCTTTTTGTCAATGGTTAAGGCCATTGGAAATCTGATAGAAAACACTTGAAGATCTCAAGAATTTCCTATCAATCCTTAGAAAACAACAAAAATTTTCCTTAAGAATCCACACAAAACCAGGAAAACAGTAGATAATTTGTGTTAATTTCCTTTACAATAATTTTGATCATATTGCATTGTAGTCAGGTGGAACATAATTTGCAAAGTTGTTATAATATGCAAAAGTGAATGCATTTTTATAATAAGGATTCTTGCAAAGTTGAAAGGAAGTCCCGATGAAAAAAACATTATTGCAATTTCACATTCCAATTCCTCTCGTTGTTGCATGTTAAAAGCCATATCTAAAGAGCTACTGGCAACTCCTTTTCTTTTATTTGATTCATATCATTCACTTATAAATGATAATAAATCATCAGCTCTAACAGATGAGGAAGAAGTTTGAGATGAACCGTGAGTAGATGGAAAATGTATCTCTTTAGAAAGTGCTCTTTTGATCCTCGATTCAACTTCATCAACTTGTCTGTTCAATTCAATCAACTCCGACGTAGTAATATTATGACACATTTTAATTCCATGACCAACAATATTAAGTAGATGTGCGTTCACCCGATAATATGATAATTTATAGGTAACACCATAGTAATTGCATTTGAATGACACGTTTTTTCCTCCTCCAAAAGTTTTGCTTAACTTTGTAATGTGATCCCATAATGGCTTATCAATTTCTACACTTGGCTCTTTTGAACCTTCATCTAATCCAGTCCCACTAGCACTAAAGCTCATTTTACTTTTAAATACACTGGTAAAATGGAAAAAAATTAAGTCTTAATAAGTTGGGTGACATATTGTAAGACATTTAAAATGTCCCAAAAAAAAAAATTTCCCTAATTTGAAAGTATTGCTTCATACATATATATACACAAATCTTAACTCTTAAGTCTTTTCAAATACAACAATAAATAAAGTCTAAACTCTTAAGTGTAGGGTTGCAAAAACAACTAAAAAAAGTGGGTCAACATGTATATTACAATGTTCCAAATTTCCAATCATGCCACATAATGTACAAAAATCATAGAATTCAAGATTCATATACATGAGCTCAACATGTATATTCAAGGGATTATTTTAGAAGATGCATAAAGTGAAAATAGGATAAAAAATTGCATGTTAATTATAATAAAGCTGATTTGGCTCTTTTGAAGGTAACATAAGCAAAGTGCAAGCAGCTCACAATCACCATCCACTAAGATGTACTACATGAATTGGTATGAAATGCCACAGATATTGTTTCATTCATTCATTATCATTCTGTTGATTGAACTACAAGATTTATAGATGGACTTCAAAAACATAGGGATGGATGGAGATCATTACATTTATTGTGAGGACACTAGACAATGGCTGCAAGAGGGACCGTATGTGAGTAGGAGTCAGAGAGGAGGCCTGGCCAAGTAAGGTGATGGTTAGGCCTGGTGATGATTAGGGCTTACGGTTGGGAGGTATGTCGAGAAGAAATGGCGAAGGAACGAGGATTGATATCAAAAAGTAGAGAAAAGAAATGGCAAAATGGTGAAAAGAAATGGCAAAATCCACTTACAGGGCTTAAAGAGATGTTCGGTTGGCTCGCTTGCGTGCAGAAATGGTGAATGGTTCGGAGTCTGCTTCCCTTGGCTATGTGCAGAAACTAAAGGAAGACGGCGTGCTCGGGACGGCGTGAAGGTGGAGACCATGGGTTCGCGGCCGGAAGAAGACTTGGAACTGCTCGCAGGAAAGACCTCCGTTGCTTCTCGCCTCAATCGCTCGAACGAATAAAATAGGAATAGCAGGATTAGGGAGATGGGCATGAACCGGTACTTGCTAGTTGTTTTCTCTCTTTTTTATTTAACTATCAAATAGCCGGACATTATTTTTTTTTTTAAATAGGCACACACTAATAACGTGTCTGACATGTATCCCGCCGTGTCGGACGCATGTTCGTGTCCGATAAGTGTCTAACACTGCATTCCCCCTTAAAATGGAGTGTCTGTGTATCAGAGGTTGCCTTGATGCACGTGTATAGTAGTTTTGTCTACAAATACCCGGGGTAGGTCACTCGCGGATACGAGGCCAACTTTTCCTTATGC